AAACATGCATTGGCCACTACGATGTATGCATTGTGATTTCTCTTGTTCAGAATGCCCATCTTCAGAGGAAAAGCTGGGCACTGAAAATACAGCAGTTTCATCTTTTGACTCCTCTGCTGGTGTTGCGAGAAAAACTGCTAATTAAATCCTTTCTAAAGTGTCTTTTGGGACTGTGGGCAATATTAAGCTTGATGAAGAAGGTAGAAAATCTCCCATACTAAGGAGTTGGAGCTGATCATTTCTCTGAAAATTATGCTATATTCAGTCACCTGAAACAGCAGTCTGAAGAACAGTGGTAGTAGACCTCATTATTCTTCATCTGATTCTGATTCTAGTGAGAATATATGGAAAATAAATTTCAGTCAATTATTATGGCCAGTAGGGAGAGGGAGGTGATTGTCCCCCTCTGGTCCGCCCTTGTAAGTCCACATCTGGAGCACTGCGTCCAGGCCTGGGGCCCCCAATACAGGAGGGATGCAGCTCTGTTGGAGTGGGTCCAAAGGAGGGCCAAAAAGAAGATGAAGGCTGGAGCACCTCTCCTGTGAAGAAAGGCGAGGGAGCTGGGCTTGTTTAGCCTGGAGAAGAGAAGGATATGGGGAGATCTCATGCTGCCTTCCTGTACTTGAAGGGAGCTTACAAGCAGGATGGGAACTAAATATTTACATGGTCTGATAATGACAGGACAAGGGGGAATGGTTTTAAACTACAACAGGGTATATTTAGGTTAGATGTTAGGAAGAATTTTTTTACTCAGAGGGTGATGAGACATTGGAACAGGTTTTCCAGAGAGATTGTGGGTGCCTCATCCGTGGATGCATTCAAGACCAGGTTGGATGGTGCCCTGAGCAGCCTAATCTAATGGCTGGCAATCCTGCCTGTGGCAGGGGGGTTAGAGCTAGATGATCTTTAAAGTCTCCTCAAAACTAAGCCATTTAGTGATTCTATTATTATTACTTTAGGAATAAAGGAATGAAATCATCCCAGTTTACCAGGAAGTTGTCTGCGGGGATTGGTTTTATGTTTTATTCTGTTTGTTGTTGTTGTTTTAATGACTTTCATTTTTTCCATCCAGAAATTTTTATTCGTGGTCAGCTGAGAGAATTAAGTTGGTTATATAAAATCTATAAATTAGGTATCTAATTACCTGATTGCAGCAGGAAATCAAGTAGCTAATAATGTAAATGCTCAATTTGCTCAGCGTTAATTCCATCCATACCAGTTGGTTTAAGTAAGTTACTTGACCCAGACAGATCAATGGAAGGAAAGAAAGACTTTTCTATCTGAAGGAAAACTAAAAATCATGAACTTAAAGATAGATCCAATCTAGCCTTTGCAGCTGCAAAATCTATGATAAGACAAGATTTGATGCAAAGGATGCACAGAAATCAGTAAAGAGGTTTAGTGCAGTAACAAGGACATAATAGACACGGCTGATTTTTAACCAATACTGGGGTAGTGTTTGTAAATGAGGCCAAAGTTATCTACAGACTAAATGAAACTGGTTTTACTTTCCTGTCAAACAGCTGCCTTTGGGGAAAGGTGCAGAAAGGGCTGTGGAGATGCATGGAGCAATCTTCATTTTTGTTAACCTGGTGACCTCAGAACAGGGCTGGAATCCCAGCTGAAGTCTCTGAGTATTAGAACAGTCCAAATAAAAAAATATGCACAGTATAGATGAAAAGTGAGACTGTTATCACAACCTTATGAGCACAGGCAAAATAGTATAAAGAAATACAAATTCAGAAACTTAAATACTTGTAAGACCTTTATTTTAAACAAGTGTTACAAACAAAGAAATAAAGAAACTGTGATACAATAAGAAAAAGTAAAATGATGAAGCTGTGCTGTGAGACAGCACGCAGAATTCAGTGCAGTGAGAAACTGGGATACTGTAAATATCTGAAGTTTGTGTCTGAACTGAGTAAAAGTCAATGCTGCTTTGCTTAGAGTCAATAGAATTATTCCTGTGAGGACAAAACATGTGAGACCACAGTCAAGACTCCTCTTATATTCACATCATTTCATAACAAGGCAATTCGTAGTCTGAAGCCCTTGAATAAAACTAACAAAACAAGATACATAATGTCATTGTATACAGAATACAGTCAATAAACTTTCAAAAAAGGAAAAGCATTCACCTTGAAGTAATTACTGACAGATTTTTACACAGTATTAGCGTAGAAAATCTGAAGGTTTGAGAGAGTACCATGAATAAAAGCGTCTCCACTTTTCTAAAGCCTCTTCAAAACCAAAAAGCTTAACAATGGGCTGAGTAAACAAATGATGCACCTGTCTGCAGTCAAAATGTGTTTTCTCTCAGATGCATGCAGCATTGTTGTTTTATTCCTATTTACAAAGCCCCACTTGCAGGTACCTACCCTTTCAGTTCTGTTTGTTTTAATGAGTTCAAAACTCTCAAAGAGTCTTTTGATTTACACAGAATGTCAACAACAGGGAAAAAAAGATTAAAGTAGATCCAAGCCTAAAGAAAAGGATAAAGAAAATATTAACTATCACCTGTGTCAATTGTTCTGCCCATAGCTGGTGGGATGTGAAATGTGTTTTGATGGCTCCATAGTCTTTCACAAAGGAACACTTCCTTATCCTCCTGCCTGCCTGTGTCCCAGCCCATGCACTGTTCAGCGTGATAAGTTCATGAGTTCACAGTGAGAAATCAGACATATATGGGTGAAATGTACCCAACTCTTTTGAATGGAGCGGGACAAATCGCTTGCTCTTATCTAAGCAGCGTGTTAATTTGGAATTTGAAAATGTCAGTGAAGTCACTGAGATTATGTGTGCAAAATGACCCAAGTCTGGCTGGTCTCCAGTGGTGCGAATGCAGTGTGAGAAACAGGTTGAGATTACTTCTGAGAGAAATTCACTCTTGTGCAAAAGCAACATATACCACTTAAATGAGGTGAAAATCACCATGAGCTCAGTCAGGACTATTAAGCTATGCCTTAGGCTATCCAAGCAGAGGAAGAATGAAAACTAAGGTAATACAATTGCCCTAAATAGGTATACAACTGAACAAAAAAGTGTGCAACTATTTGCATAATGAAATATAGTGTACCAAAAATACAAAGCGTGCCTGCATTTACTGCTAAAGGATATTCTTTGCCATACTGCTGGTACTTATACTCCATGGGAAACAGTTGTACTTGTCTGCATTTATTAGTAAAAAATGATACTTATGTAAACCTGGCATTTATGCTCGATGGGAAGTACTTGTTTTATTCAAAGAACTGAAAGAAATAATTTAATGTAGAAATGAGCACTCAGTAAGTGCAGGTGTACATGGTAAACCATACAAAAGACTGCTGTTCTTATGACTGCTTAGAAAAATGAAGTGCTGTAAGCAGACAACATTATTTCTAGCCTCAAATTTTGACACAGTGTTAAACTATATTTAAAGAAACTCTATTAAAACTAAATACTAAGTTACAAACTACCTTAAAATCAGATTTAAAATAATCAAATCAAAAGAAAGGCATTATCAGAATATGATTAATTTTTATACTTGCTACTAACACTTAACTCTATTTCTTCATAATTCATAAATAGTAAATACCAGACCCTCAAAGATCTAGTAAGTAACAAGAGCAAGATATTACTAACAGAAACCTCAGACCAGTAGTCCTTCAAGTTTGTTGCTCCCTTACACTCACAAACCAACTCCTGCCACATAAAAATAAAAACACAAAGTGTGGGTTTTTTAGATCTGTGCTTTTGATTCTTTGTGCATTTAATCTTGTTTCTGAAGTATTTCTTCAGACACAATTGTGCCTTAGCTACAGGTGCTAATGTGAAAGGCTGGGTGACTTAGGGATATCTCAGCTATTTCTGAGTATATTTCTTGCCTATGTCACTGAATAAAATCCACATAATTTTAACATTATTTTTTTTAGATGTAAGCTACCACTAAATGCTTACATTATGTATGCATGCATGCATTCAGTGGTTGAGTCACACACTTGAATTTAAGCTTGTGTTTGAACACTGCAGAACGAAGGTCTAGACTTGTTCATCTGCACTGGTGATATGTCCAGAAATAATTTAGTTTCCAAATCTCATGGTTTGCACACATTAACTTTTAAATCCTTTTATCCATTTTAACCAACGTTATCCACAAGAACTACTGGTGCAATCTCATCTGATCTAAGCAGCTTTCAGTCATATAGCAATAACACTTCAGAAAGGCAAATACTACCAACATAATGGTGCTCCCGAAGGTTTAAAATACGAGGAATGCTAACTAAATATTGTTGTAATAATGTAAAATTCACTATGCAGTAATTTCAAGGCAGCTAATAGTTCTTTTCACTATGCCTTTATGCAAACTATCCTTCAGGTTAATAAACATCATTCTTCCCATTTTACATATCTAGAAAATGAAGTAAGTGACATTTCCTAGATGAGAAAAAGCTCAGTACTGGATAGAGTTAGAGCATATCAGAAATGGTAACGGAACTATTTAATAGAGAAGACCAGAACACTGACATGTACCTGATAAAGTTAACATCCATCTCCTGAAAAATGGGTCTGCTATGACTTTTTGTCACCTGGTGAAATTGTGAGCATGCATTCAAAGACAATTTAATGGTGACTTCAGTAAGGCCAGGAATTTACCCAGTAAGATTAAATTGGTACAAGTATGCCACATAATGAAATCACCATCAAAATCTAAAATTTGTATGAAGCAACAAGCTGCACAGCAGAGCTTAAATGTGCTTTGTATGGTGAGAGCACAGGACACTGTAATGCTGATTTAGGTGCACAAGCACAGGTTTGCATTTTAGAGTAAATGTGCTACAATAAAAATATCTTTAAAAAATTATAGCTACCCTTCTTTTATCTTCATATAGTAAATCAGCATGATATTACTGATACCACCACCTGCTCCTAAGCAGAGCTACAACCTAAACATTAAATGTTTTAAATGTTTGAGATCAAAGTTTGTATCTTTAGTCAGTATATTGTGTAAAAATACCCAAACTTTGTTCATCCCAAAACAATTACCTAACTATATCACTGGCGAATCTTGACTTATAAAAGCCGAAAAGCCATCAATAAAATAATCAAACCCTCTTGAAAAGTAAATAGCAAAATAGCTCATAAAATGCAAACAGAACAAATAGCCATTCTCAATTTTTCAACAAGTGTCATAACTTTCCAGTATTATATTCATTCCAAAATACTGTTCTATATAAAACCTTGTTTACTCTGTCTTTCTCACTTATAAACAACACTCTGAGACCAAAATAAATTCATGGCCCTTCTTTGCAATTTGTTTCTACTTCCCTCTCACATAACAACTGGTAAATGTACCACTGCATTGCTTCTGTTCAAAGCTTCCAACAGACATGGCATTTCATTAAATTCCATTCAGCACCTTTAAAAGGGAGTATAAAAATGAAAGCTTCAATTTTCCCTGTACCTCTAGAGGCCTGAAAAGGAAGCTGTCTCCACTCAGAAGGAGTATCACAAACCCAACACCAAATGTATTTTACATTTAGAGTTCCACTGAATCACTGCTTTCCAAAGAGATCTCCGGTGGCAAAGAATCACCTAACCCATCATCTGGATCAATCACGAAGCCCTGACTTCTTAACGTTTTATGAGCATTCATGAACTTCTGGAGGTACTTAGAAGTATATAGCCAGTGATGCTTTAAGACATCCTCCATTTCATAGAATTTGGACTGCCTGGCATTCATTTTTCGGAACCTCCTAAATAGTTTGTTTCCAGACTCATTTCCTTCACTTGCCCAAGCACCAATGGACCCATCTCTTTCAATGATTTCAGGTACATGAGCAAGGGTTTTGTGAAAATAATTGGTAATCTTGCCCTCATATCTGTATTTGAACTTTGTAGACAGGAGCTCAGCAAAACGCTGTGAATTGTAGCTGTACTGGCACAGCAATTCTGGACACTCTTTGGCAGGGCACGAAGATCGCCATACTGGTTTCATTTTCAGATAAAGGTCCATTAGTTCTTTTAGGGCTTCATGCCTTTCCTCACACTTTATTAATTCACATACTGCCTCTACTGTTTCTTTGGACATGAGCTTCCTAGCAAAGTTCCCACTCATCCTCATCATAGGTTTTAATTTCATCTTCTTCCTGAGATGTTTGTCAAGAGTCAACTGCCACCTCTTCCTTTCCTCTTTAGATGCATCAGGATTCTTGTAGACTTCACCAATCTCCATCTGGAAAATTCTGTAAAATTCTGTTGCGTTGCCAATGTCACAGTGCAACGCATCAATGGAGGGAACAGTCTCTATAAAAGGTTTGGCTGAAACACCCTTCACTCTGTCACGGAGCTCATCAACAGATTCGTGATATGGGTTGGACCTCCATATTTCATATCGCTCCAGATTTTCAGCGTGGCTCCTGGTGATGGAGTGGAAGACCAAATTCTGAGAGGCCTCTAGGCGGGTTGCATCACAGAGGGTACAGATATAAGTGGAACCTGAGGCCTCCAGCCCTTCCACTTCCCTTACAAGTTTCTCATCATAGCCTGTACCTCGAAAGATGAATTTGAATGTTCTCAGGATGCCTCCCATTTCAAGAAGCAGTTCACTGTTCTTCATAGCCTCTCTTTCTGCTATGAGAGGGCTCAGGATCGCTGTCAGAGTTTCATGGTCTGATTCATCAGCCAGCATAAGGCACAAGGGTTTGCAACACAACTCTGAATTGGGCTTTACTTCTTCAAAGATCCTTATCTTTTCATTCCCATGGTCTATAGCAATGTTCATGACTGTAAATGAAAAGCGTACAGCCTTCTCTGGGACAGCAGGACCACTTCCATGCTTCTCGCTGACATCTCCCATTCCGTCACAGCACTCTTTTACTACCACAGTGAAGGGACCATTCAGATAGTCATCCAGATTTTTTGCCTTCATGCCCTCCAAGATTTCTTCCTCCATGTCCTTTAAAGCAGAAACCAAGGCTGTATCATATCGAAATCTCTTTGCAATTGTGTCTATTGGGTAGTCATCAATCGAGAGGGGTAGTCCTGATAGTCCATCTATAATTCCCACTTCTGTGTTAGTGGATACATTTTTCAATGGAGGCTTCCATTCAAAAGGATGATAACCTGGTAAGAGGGCTTTCTCGGCAGTGCGAAGAGCATGCAGTGGCTGGAAAATCTGCCTCCCAGTGACAGCTTTTACAGTTCGGTACATTTTGTGATATTGGCTACAGCTGAGAAATGTGTTGATTCGGATTGCCAGGCAAACAGCAGGATGAAGTCCAGATCCTTTGCCTTGCATTATAGCCTCCAATTCATCTGCTTGCTTGTGCTCATTTTTTGCTCTTAAAGCTAGCAGGAACAAAGTCATGCATACAGCCTTTATATCACCACCTTCTTCTTTCTCAGCAAAAGCCTTCACTTGACGTTTCAGTTCTCTCAGACGATGTTTTTGAGCTCTCCTGGTCAAAGACAGAAGATGCTGCCTTGGTCGACCACCTTTATTTATGGGGTTATAGAGCTCTTTATCTTTCATCTCCTTGTGGTTAGAGAAGTGTTGGCCATATTTTCCATGCAAGATCTCTTCATCACATTCTGGTACAGGGCATCTTATGCTCAGGCTATCAAGGATGTTCAGGAAGGATTTCACTGGGGTTACCAGATCAGTAGGGAAACAAGGATACCAGCAGGAGGGGCAATAGCTGCCCATAACTTTGATGCAGCTGAGAATACAAGCTCTGCAAAACAAGTGTCTACATGTTGTTTCCACTGGGTCTGCCAAAATATGCTCACAGATCTGGCAAGAGATGGATTTAATGAAATCTGCTGGATAATCAACTGCAAGAAGTTTGGTGCTGAGATGTCTGTTCTTGCAGTTGGTAATCTCTTTCATTACCTTTTTGTTATTTATCAGCACTTGATTCTTTATGCCTCTGTTAACTCGAGCATGTTCTGCAATGATTTTCACACGTTTGCCATGTATTACATTGGATGGTTGGCTTTTTCTCTTGACTCCCCGGCTGGGAGTGTGGCACACTTCACAGTTTGTAGAGTGGGGCTGCCACTCCATCGTGCTGTTCCTAGGAAAATAAACTTCACATGGAGTATTACTGAATTTCCTGTGGATAATACTCCAGCAGTTGTGACAAAACCGAGTGGGATGGATAGTGTCAACATCCCCTCTCACATCAATCTTGAAAACTTTTGCAATAAGATCTGGCCAAGAGGTTGCTTTTTTCTCTTTCTTTCTCAGAAGCCACAGAGTTTCATCATCTACTGGTCCATGTACTGGATGAGTTCTCTTGTAGCAATCAGTTTTAAATGAAGCTCCACAGATGCGGCAAAGTTGCTTCAGGTTGTTCTGGTGAATTGTGTTGTCTTGTATTTTCATGTCATTGACATCTTTCTCAAGTGCTTGCATGTTGCCCATGAAGTCCACCTGTGTCAGAATTAACTTTTCTCCTCTTGGAACTTCTTCATCTTTAGGCAGCACGATGTTTTTGTCCGTAGAAGCTACCTCTTGTTCTTGATCCTTGTTTATGCATTGGCTTTTATCAGAAGGTGCTTTTTGAAATGGTCTCACTTTAAACAGCTTGAATTTCCATTCAGAAAATTTTGCATATGGATGCTGAATCTCTTCAGGTAGATCCATTTGTGATGTTATCGACATCTCCAGTGTGGCAGAAACCAGATCACCTGAGAAGGAAGCTGTATGTTAGCTTATGTTCCAAAATGAGAAATAGTGCCAATGCCTGAGCATATGCTTTAAACACAATAACTCTATTAACTTTAACTGAGAAATGCGTTTTAAGTTCCTTTGCCCAGGACGCTTATAAACTGAGAGATCCAAATGTGGCTGTCCACGCAGTACCTCAGATAAATACTTGGTTATGCTTTGACTTTGATCATGCGGCATCCATAGTCAATTGTACCATCAGTGCATATTGCATACACCTGTTAGTCATCAGGTCCTAATTTCCCAATTTGCCTCCTTCTTCTTATAACTAACTTCACAGTCTACAATAAACAGACGAGTAATGTTCTGAAAGTGTGGTAAGTTCTTCATATGAAACTGAACAAGATTGGTGGCTTCAAGACATAATTTTTTCTGCCTCATGCTATGTTACTTCAATCACTTGAGACTACTGCTGTCACACCACTTGTTAGTCCTTGATTCTCACCTGAAGTGTCTAATGAATGCCTTTGCCTTCCTACACAGGCAGAGCAGCATATGCTATTCAATCCCTATGCAGACTTTATTCAGACCTCAATTTTGTAAGGTACTTTAGTATACGGACGCTGAATGTGAGTGGTTTCATTAAAGCTGTAGGAGTGTATCCTCTGTTGTTGCAAGGTGCAATGGTTCCCTGGACTCTAAAGGAGATATGGCAATTTATACTCACTGCGTATTTGCTCTAGAGAGAATATTTATACATTTCAAGTTAGTCATCTGTTTAAGTGCCCTGCTGAGAACTCTGTTTGTAAGGATTGCTGGTACTGGAAAGCTGAAAATGTCTGTTCAAATTTGACCCCAATTGTAGCTTTCATAGAGATGCAACCAAAAGTAATATCAATGTGATTGCCATGGGAATATGATATTGTATGAAAATAAATAGAAGACTCACCTCAAACACTGAAACTTTGTGCTACTGCATCAGACTTAGAAAACAAAATCATGTAGAAACAAATACAAAAGTGACTAACCTATTTTTCCTTATCTGACAATGAGAAGTGCAGAAAATGAACAAACAGCATAGAGAAGATTAAACTGTATTTCACTTGTTTTACTTAAATTTTGTTTTACTGAACCGATTCATATGAATTTAAAAAAAAAAAAAAAAGAGGAAGAAAAACTGTACATTAAGATCATACACATCAAACTAGAAATTATATGGGTATGGCTTTGATTTCTCTGATTGATTATATTTGCACCTAGCAATTCACTAACCTTGGTGGAAATCTCAGTTCTGTGTTTATGTGGAAAGTGTCCTTCATAAGAGATATATCCATGCCATGATCTGGTGATGCTCAATGAGTTTCTGAGATTGTTTTATTGATAACCTTTCAATGAAGCAACATTACTGTACTAATTTTGAGAGTCCATTGGGAAAGGACTCCATGCTTTGATAAAGTTATAGACCCAGAATGACAAATCAGTCTGCTCAATTTTCCTTAAGAGCAGTGTTTAACTTCGAAATTGTTCATTAGGCCTTGGCAACCAAAGCTAACATTTGTTTTCTTCCCACTTTCTCTTCATTTCATCCTACTGAGAACAACCTGCCCGTACCTCTGTCCCCATCTGCCTGCATTGTTCGGTCCAGCTGTCCATGCTGTTGAACATCGCGGGCTGCACTGCAGCCCCCTGCTGTCCACAGCCGAAACAGCCTGGTAACGCGCTTGCTTGTGCTCTGCTGCCTGTGGATCTGCGATCCACTGCTGTGCCCAGATGAATTCAGGTCATTACTACCGCCTACTTTCTTGGCTGCATCCTGCGGCAGAGGTAGTAAAACCTATCCACTGAGCGATAACCTGTTTGCCCCTGAATCATCTTGCATTCCCACAGATACATGCTCTATTACCTGCAGCACTGGCTACCCTATGCTGTCTGCAGATCCCTCTCTATGAAGGGAAATTTGTGTAATTTCACCATCTCCAACAGCAATTTCAGAATGTCTCAACCCATATGCAATGCCTATTCAGGGCAGTACCTAATTCATTGTAAAGAAATAGCCAGCACCAAGTACATTTAAAGTAAAATATTTAATACTTTCCCTCCTCGGCTATCCCTTAGACTAAGTGCCACCTTAGTGCCTTACTAATCCCCAAACCTGTGGCCATTCCTATTAATTACCAACTCAAATGAAGCTTTACCCTCATTAAAGAAAAGTGCAATGACCTTTTTGTTTTTTCCTCTCTCTCTTACACTGAACATTCCCTTGAAGAAATGAATGATAAAGAGCCCTCTTAGGTCACCTGACCTTAGCCTCCTTCAGGAGATAGTAGCAGCCAACAGGCTACTCATCAGACACTTTAAATGGCCTGGATGCCAGGCAGTGGAGTTTGAAGCAGCTCTGCTGGGAGACTTAGAAATATCCCCAGTGCCAGGAACATTTCATGCTAGATTTGCCTTTGGTCTGTTATTCTAGTTGTGGGTCACAGTGAACAATCCTCCTCACTGTTTATCCCACTCAGATTCTTACAGAGTGAACCCCAGCCGTGAACCCCAGCCACGGTTATTTAATCAACTCTGACAGCTGTATTCAGTATCACCTCTTTTTACCTTGAAAAGGGAAAAGAAATCCCTTTTCTTCCCAGCTCACAATATTTCATACACTTCTGAAGAAAAGCACAACTGTGGTACTGTTAGTCATGTCAAGGAAGACCTTGCTTTATGAACAGTCTCACTGCATATATAGAAAAAAATTGACTTGTGCATTAAAACAGGAAAATGAATCAACATTCAGTTGTCCTACAAGCATTTGAGTTGCTGCCATTAGTGCAGCCAGCCTACCTTTAGCTCCCTGTCAGTATGCAGAGCTGCTGTTATGTCTGCTCAGTTTGCTCCACATGTCAAGCTTGCTTGCTCTCCCGTGTGCTCTTGCTCTTTCTTTGTCCCCTCTGCTTTTTAAAGACACTGCAATGCTGTTTATCTCACTTATCCTTGTGCCTCTGAGCTCCCAGTACCACTTTGGTGCTAACCACAGGTTACTGCAACTAAACACAATGCAGAACTTTCAAATCCAGGTGGCACCTGGCAATTTATGAGGCTTAACCACAAAATTCATAAAAACAAGGTCTTCTTGTGCGAGACTCTAGGGCTCAGAGATAAGCATGCAGCCTTTCTGAGGAGCACCTGCAGTGTTAGGACAAAGCTCTGCATTTGGCTTTCTTCTTTCTAGCTTCAGAGCTAGTTTCTTCACTGTCAGCTATCAGAGAGAAGAACTTGGTGTCTGGTCACACTACAGTCGCACACCAAAGCTGTTTCACTGAAGGCCAGAGGCCTGCTTCCTCTGTTAACAGCAGCCAGTCCTCTGCGGTCTGGGACCACACAGTGTCTTTTCTTCTGATCCCACTATCTCACTTTCAGAAATTTTACCTTCCTGATGGTATCCTAAAGGTACTCGACAAGAGAACAAATCAACAATATAAAAACTAGTTCTGTATTCTGAGTAACTGGTTGATAGTACATCAGGCAAAGCAAGTGTCCACAGATGGTGGGCAGTAAAATTCAGTGCTCACGCTCAGTTTTGACAAAGCACGTATGTCTCAGAAACTCACTCCAAGTGAAAAGAAAACAAATTCTGTTACACAAGAGCACCTTGAAGGATTTTGGTCTCCTCAAAAAACATTATGCAACAAAATGTAATGACCCACCAAGCTCTCCCAAAATGAACATATGCTCACACTCCAGAAGTAGGAGTTTGCAGTAGCAACACTTGCTATAGGTAAAAATGATGAGAGGATTCCCTCCTATTATCAGCTTTGATCTTGTAGAACAGTTCCTTCCTGTTCTTGCAAGATGACAAGTCATAGAGAAGTGAAGCTAGACCTGGATCAGTCACTCATTTCACACTGTATGTCCCAGGAGATGCCAGTATCTCCTCAGTAACTAAGTGCAATTATTTGTGCCAAATCAAGTAACGTAATGACAAAGAAAACAAAGTTTGGTTGCAAACTCTGATACCCTTGGTCAGATTCTGACCAAAATCTCAGAGCTGCTGTAGAAACAAGTGCACCTGAGTGTCAGGACAAGGTGGAACAGAAATCACGGTAGTCACTCCCAGGCAAGGCAGGTTAGAGTAAAGTTGTCCTAACTCTGGTGTTTGCTCACCAGCGAGAAGGTGTCATGGCCCAGCCCTAAGCACAGCATTTCTGCTCTCTCTATCTTGCCAGGATTTCCCCACAACCTGCCTGCCTTCACTGTCCCCTCGCTAGCATTTGGAGAGACCTTTTCAAAAAGGTATCAGGTCAGGCTGCAACACCAGATATTAAAGTAACTCTCTGCAGGCTCATACTGGTTTCCTCCCTTATCTTGAAACAGCAGATGCAGCTCGCTGACAATATGCATTGAGGGATCAGAGGCTCTCAGAGAAGCAGTCTAGCAAATCTGTCCCTCTGCTGGAGGGCTCATTCAAAACCTTGCCCAAGCAGCTGCCTACCAGCCCCATTCCCTGTGAGACTGAAGTCTTGTGTGAACAGTGCTGGATGAGAGCAATCTGATCATCAGCTCAGCCAGGTGAGCATATGTAAGCAGTCCCGCACTTTACTTGCAGCATACTCAGGAAAAATCACCTTGAAAAAACGTTTTCTGGAAGGGATACTCAGGTAAATAAGGTTTTAATTGATCTCCAGTTGAAACAGCTTTGAATGTGGTTTATGTGTGTATGAACATAGTTGCTCGGCGGTTTGAGCTGTGCAGTCAGTGCTGGAAAGTATTTTCCCTGTGCAACTGTCACCACCACGTGGAGAAAAAGCATTTATGCACCATTTTATGTTGCAGTATGGTCATGGGTACGTGACTATTGGCCAAGTCTGCCAAAAACCATAAATATTTGGGAACTGCACATTTCATGACAAAAGACATTTCATTTCATTTCAAAGACATTTCATGCACATTTGAGATAAAAGCTCCTATGTTTCTTGTGTGCCTTTCTAATCAAAATGAACTGGACATCAATGCTCTGACTACCTGATATATGACTAAAAATTGTGGGATTTTGTCACAGAAAACTCCATTGAGGGATATCTATTTTATAAATCTATTATACATTTCCTCATTTTACAGATAATGAAAATAACATCTAGTTTTTCAACTTCACTGGGAATAAGGATGCCTCTGAAATTCAGCTAGTTGTCCAGCAAAGGGTCCACCCACAAAGTTGGTTAAATTACTCTTAGTATAACTACTTCTTTCTTGTGGTATGTCAGAGTCCCAGATGAAGATCTGACAAAAAAATGTAACAATCTCATGGCCAAAATTGGCACTCAGAGGGCTGCATTCAGGGCTTCCATAGGTCTTACTGCTTCTTACAACTCCCTGGAAGAAGTTTATAATAAGGTGGGGATTGGCCTTTTCTCCCAGCAATAGGATGAAAGAGAATGGCCTCAAGTTGCACAGAGGTAGGAAGCAGGCTAGGTTGGATATTAGGACATTTTTTTTCTCAGAAAGACTGGTGAGTCATTGGAACAGGCTGCCCACGGAAGTGAGGAAGTCACCATCTCTGGGGATGTTCAAAAAAATGTGTAGATGTGGCACTTAGGGACAGGCTCGAGCAGTGGGCCCAGGTGAACCTCATGTGGTTCAACAAAGCCAAGTGCAAGGTCTTGCACCTGGGTCATAGCAAACCCTGCTATCAGAACACGCTGGAGGATGTGAAAGTGGAGCACAGCCCTCCTGAAAAGATCTTTGAGGCACTGGCAGATGGCAAGCTGGACATGAGCCAGCAACGTGCCCTCGCAGCCCAGAAAAGCAAACATATCCTGGGCTGCACTCTTCTTTTGGAAGCGTGGCCAGCAGTTGAAGTTGGTGATTCTGCCCCTCTACTCTGTGCTGGCAAGGCTTCACCTGGAGTACTGCACCCTGGCATGGAGTCCTCAGTACAGCAGAGATGCAGACCTGTTGGAGTATGAGCAGAGGAGGGCCACAAAAATGATCCAAGGGATGGAACATCTCCCCTGTGAGGATAGGTGGAGAGAGCTAGGGCTGTTCTGCCTGAAGAAAAGAAGGCTCCAGGAAGACCTGATATTGGGTTTTCAGTATCTAAAGAGAGACTGTAAGGAAGAAGAGGACAGACTCCTTAGCAGGGACTGCTATGACAGAACAAGGGGAGGTGTTTTCAAACAAAAAGAAGAGAGATTTAGACTGGATAGGAGAAATATTTTTTACAGTAAGGGTGGTACTGGCACAGATTGCCCAGAGAGGTTGTGGAAGCCCTATCTTTGGAGACACCAAAGGTCAGGATGGATGGGGCTGTGAGCACCTGATCTCTTGTAGGCGTCCCTACTCACTGCAGGCAAGTTGGACTATATGATGTTTAAAGGTCCCTTTCAACACCTACGATTCTATAGTTCAGTGGGCAGTATTGGTGGCAGACTGTTGGACTAGACGATCCCATGATTTTCTCCAGATGCAGCCTCCTGCTTGCACCATCTGGCACTTAGACAGGCACTTTTGGCTGGCAAGGGTAGGAGCTCAGGAGTGTTCCAGGGCCTAGTTCTTCACTGCAGATCTGGGACCCCAGAACAAAGTGCTCTCTGAGTTAGCACACGCAAGCCTTGGGTGCTTGCCAAGGAAGGCACAGATGCATACAGCAAAATTCCCCTTCTCTGGGTTTAGGGAAACGAAGCTGCGTTTACATTCGCGCCGTCCTAGTTTTTCACTTCCTTAGAGCCACCCACTGTCACACGCTACTGGGGAAAAGCCAACATCGCCACTGCCTCAGGTAGCACTGTGTCCTTAACCGAGCCCGGCCACGTCCCCACGTAGCCGAGAGGCTACTGCCGCCGGGCAGGGCTCGAGCCCTTCGCTTGTGCAGCGCGCGTGCCGCGAGGATTTAACCGAAAAGCTCAGATGCTTCCAGGCTGCAGCGCGTTGTTTCCAGGTGGGACGGCTTTCCCTAATCACGTCACGCGCTATCAATCAATGCTTTCTGCACCTGCTCTCCTATCAGCGTTGCTACGGCGTACTTTTATCCCTCCGCAGGCGGCCGAAGCGGAAAGCGGCAGCGCTGCAGGCCTTAGGCGGGCGGATCCACCGGGCCGGCAGGGGGCGCTGCAGCGGCTTTGGGCCCAGGCGGCCGCCGCCCCGGCTCGTCCCGAGGAGAAGGCGGAAGCGGCGCCCGGCGAGGAGCGGAGCGGCCCGCGGGGCTGGCGGTGAGTGGGGGTCGGCGGCCGCGAGGGCGGCGCGGAGAATCGCGGCGGACCGGGACCGACGAGGGCGGCGAACCGCGCGCCGTGGCCGCATCCCGCCGTGGAACGCCGGTAGCGCGGGGGCGCGGTGCTCGGGACCGGCGGGACAGGGTGCGAGGCGGCGTGGGTTTGCCGGACCTCGGCGAAAGTGCGCTCCGTCGCTCGGGCATCGCCAGTGGGAGCCGCGGTGCTGATGGAGGGAGGCTCCGTGGCCGGGGCGCGTCGGGCTGAGCTCCGCCGAAACTGAAAGTGAGCCCCGTGCCGGGACGGCAGGGTGCTGGGCCCGGGCCGCTGGGCCGGCCGGTACGCAGTAGGGCCGCGTTGCGGGTGGTGGCTGCTATGGGCGGGGGGGGGGGGAGCCGTTTGTCTGGCTGTGAAACTGGGACGCTCAGCCAAGGGACCTGGCGTGACAGGGAGCTGGAAGGCTCTGTAAGACTGCCCTGCGGGAAACTTTGCTGTTTCAGAAACTAAGAGCCTTCCTCTTAGAGACTGGCAGATCTGCACGGTTACAGCGAACTTAGGAGCACGAGTAGGAAGTTTCGATTGTGGTCGTACTTCCATCAGCGTAAGCTGATTTACAGCGGTCAGTGTGGGTCTTGTCAGGCTGAGACAGAAATTTCCTCTGTAGGTGAGAGGACAGTGATCTAATTATACCCCTTACACCTAACAGGGCTCACTGGAAGTAGCTCTGTCCTCTGAT